GACTCCAGGAAAGCTCAGTTGTAACTTCACCCAGCATGCATAGCATTAGCAGGCTATATCCAGCATCCAGCAGCTGAAGTGAACTGCAGTGATTTAGCTGCTCTCTGATCGCTGCAGACCACATGCTGGACTTCAGAGCTCTAAAGTTCCGCCCCCACTGCTACACAGAATGCTGTTCGCTTGTTTATTCAAAATCTATTAATATTGAATGTGTCGCATGTCCAAATTGCAAATTTGACAAAGCCCTCCATGGGGTCCTCGGCAAAACCAAGTGGGAAGTAGATCAGATCAGAGGTTCTCGAGAAATGCGAAGGACAGACAAATGTTTCATCATTATGTTAATAAAACAACCCAATCACATTTTCTCTACAATACCTGCTCATGGCTACTACAGTATGGTTAATGTAAGAGTTCTTAATTGATAATTAATGTATGTAAAGCACAAGGTTAGATTACAGTTTCAAAACATTAACTGTTAAGTCCCTTTTCAAGACAGGGTCTCAGCATATATGCACTCTGCGGTCTCCACGGTTGGGTTCATTACTGTCATCCCGCTTCATTAAGGACACACTGGTTCCTGCATTGGTACCTGTATGTGGACATACTATCATCTTTAACAAATCATTCCTTGCACAATTTCTAGCAGATGGATGACCTTCACTTCAAGAAGAAAGCAGAACAGGATTAGACGAGTTAACTATCCTAAGTTCTTTAATTGTATTCATTGAACACCAGCAGCTCTGCTTTTATTCACTTAATCATGAGTGTTGAATTTGACAAAATTAGGCTAAAATCAATTATCAGCCCTGCTCAAAGTGTTATTCAAATTGATTGAGGGGAAACAAACTCCAAACGGATCAGGAAGCATAAGAGCACCACGTTGTCTTCCTAGCTTCATGTCCAGGGCAAGAGGTTTAACAAGTTGTGTGTTTGAGCAGTCTAGTCTGAGGTCACAGTAAATTACAGCACAGTTTGTTGATAGCAATGAGCTGGAGCTGAGGGATGTGGGAGGCAGAGATACAAGCCTGTTTTCTCTAGCAGCATGGATAATCCCAGAGAGATGGCAAAACAGATAGGAGGAGGCACAGAGAGATACATATCAGCCCACCCGAGAAAAGGAGAGCCGGTCAGGCTGTGCCTGGGAACAGAAATAGGATGGAGCAGAGAGAGATGACATCACGTTGCACAACCAGATAGAAGGAAAGAATAGCAACGGCAATGAGAAGAAAGAACAACAAGGAATAAGAATTAAGAGTGCGGGATCGGTGTCAGCCCATCACTGTGCTGATACATTATTAAAGATACACTTACACACACACACACACACACACACATTCAGGGACGAAATGGAAGGCATCACCACTCTCAGGAAGAGTCGGTAATGAATACATGTGTAAATGTAGGAGTTTGTGTAGGAGACGCAGAGCAGGAATTATTGTGGGTCTTTTTTTGGATAACATTCATATTTTGCAAATAGAATAATAGCAAATGTCCTAATATGAATAAATATTATAAAACCTGTTTTATTTATATATTTAGTATATTTAAAATATTTAAACTCATTTAAGTTCTTAAAGCGATGATCGTTTTTCACTTTTTTGGCATGTTCAATCTTGACCTTGAAAATAGTAGTAAAATTCTTGTATCCATTCTATTAGTGACGTGACAAATAAAAGTATGAGTAATACTATCACTAAAATAAAAGTAGTTTAGACAAAGATTGTTTACTAATGATCCCCTTACAACCTTTTCATGGAAAACTGGCAGTGGTAACTGAGCAGACTCCATCCTCTGAGGAAGATTTGGTTGCAAGCTCTGGTAAAAAGGTACCTTTACAGAGAATAATTCAATTTATCGGCCAAGAACGTTTACAAGGTAAACATACATGGCAGTATGCAGGCCTTTAGAAATACAGTTGACAAAAAAACTGAGCTATTAGAGGACTTCAGGGCCATGCCCCCTGAAAAACATTTGATTTCCCTGATCTAAATATGTGCATTTTAACATGTCTTTTAGTTGCTAAAGTTGGATAACTCTAGTTTTAAAACCATGCCAGTGGGCAGTAAAGCATGAAAATGTACGCAGTAATTCAGGAAAATCCGGTTAAATGTTGAGATGAATGATCCCGCTACAATCCGAGAATACAGAAGAGGCTAAAATGATCACAAAATATCTGAAAATCAATGTTGACAATATTTATTTTGAGTGTTGAAATAAAAGCACATTCTTTTTATTTGAATTATAGAAATATGTCAGCACATAAACAAAAGCAAAATTTGTTTTCAATAACATATTTACACAATGATACTGTGTTATTACACTATGATTATGCGAGGTGTTTGTGTGGTTACATTGATTTTATAGATTCCACTGTATAATCTAAAGAAAATATATATTTTTGTGGTAATGTAGTTTAAATTGGAACAGCACAGGCACATAATGCTAATGCTAGCTGCTCTTCCTCTTACATCTCCATCACCTTCTCTCTTTCTCTTTCTCTCAGTCTCCTCATCTTGTCCCGTATCTCTCCCGTCGGATCATTAGTAAACACATGAAGACTATATTTGGGTGAAAGTGAAAATAATTACGGGCATGACTGGCCACTGTTTAATGTAGCGCGACCACTCAGGAGCTATTGGTCAGATGATTTATGGGGATGAATTGCATTGAAGTACAAGCAGTCCACTAGTTTAACTATCACGTTGTCTGAATTATGCTTCACATGGATTCAGCTGTCTGTCTGACAGTTTCCTCAACTTGTTGACAAAATCACAGATCCACAGTGTTAAAGATTTTGTAGTAACAACACGATCATCCACGTCACCACACACACACACACACTCACACACAAATGCACAAAAGCAATGACAAATGAGCGAGTCTGTAATCTCTGCATTGTACAATATTTATGCTGCAACAAATTCAAGTTATTTTAGTCAGAAAATACCAAGGTCCTGGCCTGGGTGACCTCAGTGGTGGGCACGGCCATGTTAACACATTACAAAGACAGTTTCCTAGAGTGCAAATGTGTAGGGGTCACAGAGAGAAGAGGAAGCAAACATCCAGAACCACCAGCACCAACACCACCTACTTGGAAGTTAGCATGTGGTTATTTGATTCATTGATAGCAATGATTTGTTAGGGAGCATGCAGCACTAAATCACATACTTATGGCTTAAGGCTGTTCCTGAATTTTGACCTTGAGGCCCTGTCTTGTGAGGGGGGGGGGGTGTAGGGCTTCTAGTCCTGATCTACTTTTAATACCGTTATTAATTCACCTTCACGTTTTCTAATTATGTTGATAGACATGTCAATGGACCTTTTTTCACAGCACACATTTTCAAGTGTCCCAGTCAGCCATGCAGTGAGCAGCATGCACAATACCACAGCCCTGCTCAGTTCAATGGAATGCAGTGGTTTTAATGGGATCAACTGCACCTCTGCCTGTCTTCAAACCAAAATGTCTGCTCTGAAAAAGTTATTTTGGGACCGTTGGCTTATTTTTGCATTGGAGCCCCACCGTGTTAATCCGACATGGGTCCCTGTATGATTGAATTGAAATGAATGAATGAGTTTCAGTGGACAATTCTTGCTCCCACAACGGCCTTAATGAGGCTTTTCCACGCTTGCAAAAATACAGTTGGTACAAGAGAATTGTAATTGTAATTAAATTGTGGACATTACAGAACAACCGAGTAATGCACGAGCTAAACTCATAGGAAGGGAAGTGGACCAGCTGAAACCAATAGTCCACAAGGGGAAGTTACTTTGACGTGTAGCCTAATTATCATTTGTCCGTGAAGGCTGGCGGTGTGGTGGATCATGGAGAGACGGAGGGACGGGGAGAGGGGGGTTTGTTGTCGGAGGAGCCGGAAGAGGAAAGCTAAGTGAGAGGGGGCTGTGTTAAGGGATTGCAAATTCAAAGTGGTTCGTGAAACGGAGAGACTGCACATCCCTCCCTCCCTCCCTCCCTCCTCCTCTCTGTCACAATATCTCACCCGCTGCTGCTGCAGTCAGCCTCCTCTAACGCACAGATCTGCGCGCTGATCACGGCTCCCGTCGTCCTTCTCGTTTCTCCGGAGGGGCTCACCGCATTCCAGCAACACGGTGGCGACTTTTTCCATCGTGAGATCGACCTTGCTTCAAAATTGACCTCTCTCCCATTAGACGTCAAGGATTACTGAGAGCGGACATTCCCGGTGCTTTGTGGTGCTCCCACACGGCACGTTATGCGCGTTGTAGGGAGCCTTTCGGCAGGAGAGCCGTGAGCATGTAGGCGGGTTGATGAGGACGGGCACATACACCTCGACAGGATCCGGATTCAATAAAGCTCTTGCTGTTTCCTCATGAGCTCCGTGTAGATGTTTCCATAAAGAGGAGTCATAACGATCTATTATCCCTCAGGCGAATATCACGGGGCTTCTGACTTTACTTTCAGCACCTTGGAAGGCGGAAGGAGTTTGAAGTCTGCATGGTTTAATCCCGGATCTCGCTTTGATATTCAAGTTCAGTTAGCAAACAGCAGCCCGCTCCCATGTGACTGAGCTGTCTCTGATCACTGGTGTGGTGTGGCATGGCAGAGACCATTTATTATCACTACATAATCATCTCCACGGTGGTATTTTAGTTGCAGAACAGCAGATGGGTCAGATTGTTTTATATGAATCGCATTCATTTGTCAGCTGTTAGATTCTATGTTTGTAACAAAAATGCAGTCAAATTAAACTTCATGTAAATTCTTATTGTAAACGTGCTCCCATCTCTGAGGAGAACCAACTTGTGCCGCTCATGGGAAGTGCTTCCTCCTGACCCACCTACACTAAACCCTGCAGACTCCAAGTTGAACAGTACAGGAGGAATAGAGTGACTTAGCTGACTGAGCCTTCAGATTCCAGCAGCTATGGCTCGGCTCTGCCAAAGCCTCCTCCGCAGGGCCGTAGTCCGCTACTCTCTGACCCTTACCCTCACTGTCCTCCTCTCCTGCTCCTGCCCGGCTCTAGGCAAGAAGAAGCTCTACATCGGAGCGCTCTTCCCCATGAGTGGAGGCTGGCCTGGCGGACAAGCCTGCCTCCCCGCCGCTCAGATGGCTCTCGACCTGGTGAACAAGAGGGCCGACATACTGCCGGACTACGAGCTGGAGCTGATACACTATGACAGTATGGTGAGTAACTAACCAACTATGGGCTGCTACACAGTCTATTTTACCCACAGTATAGACACCGTTCTTCCATCTTGGACTACATTGCAACATTAGTTGATTAGAATCCGAATACTCTGCAACATTCTTGCAATCATTTGCATCATTTAAGTGTTATTTTATGTAGGAATCTAAAAATGAGAAGACTAATGCTTTATAGAGAAGTTAAAAGCCCAACCTTTAGGTTGCCAGGTTGTGAAAACTCCCTTTTAATTGTTACAGCATTTGACCACTATGATTTCTGGGCTGCAGACGATCTGGACCCACAAGTGATTAACACCCAGCTGCAGATTTGATGATTAAAGACTTTAATTTAGAATGACAGACCTGAAGGTTAATTAGAAAGTGTGAGACCTGCGAGTATTTATTAATGGCTTACCAACATTTTAACAAGAATACGGGATAACTACAAGTAAAGGATAAACATCCGCCAACTGCATGTTTCACAACCAAGCAACCCAACATGTTTATGTGTTAATGACTTTAAACTGATCTAAAAAAAAGAGTGAGTTATTAACAATTGATACAACAGTCAGTTCCATAAAAGGGCCCACATGTGAGGATAAATTATAGATCTCCTAATGTACTGATCATTTTCATATCTTCATGTCAGTCCTCAGTTGGTGAAGCGAGTTCTCCTTTAACACAAGGTTGGCGGTTTGACCCCCTGCTGCTCCTGTCTGCATGTCAAAGTGTCTTTGAGCGACACACTGAACCCAAGTGCCCCCGATGGGCAGGCTTTGCATGGCAGCTCATCGTGTATGAAAGTGTGTGAATGAGAGGCACATTGTAAAACTATTTGCCGGCTAAGGTTAAAAAGTGTGATATAAATGCAGTCCACCCATCAGCAGACTGTTTCACTGCGGCTGATTTATTTATATCTCCACACTGTGATTACTTTTTCCACATCATGTAAGGCCATCATTAGGATCATTGGCAGTCCTCTGTGTGTTGTATGTTGTAAAACTGCAGCATTCAGCTCTTAAAATGTGTCGCAGCCCCAGAGAAACGTTCTTGAGTACTGTATAGTGGCTTAACCACTGTGTGTGTGCTTGTTTAAGAACAGCAGCTATACAGTCTGCTCACATTCAAACAGTACTACTAATGGCTTCCAGTCTGCTCACCCAAGGAACTTTCCTGCTCGTCTATTTCTGTTGGCTTTCACTCAACCTGAACTCCAAACATTAAGAAAGCAACACATCTTTAATTCAATCTGAGCAGGGAAATGGAGCAGGGAACGCAGTGGCAGAGGAAACACAACAAGAAACAGAAAGTCAGACAGAAGAGCAGAGAAATGAAAATGTGAAGGTCAGGATGACGGATAAGCACAAAGTGAACACATGTTTAAGTAGCTCTTAAATCCGACAGGACTCTGATGTAAAGGATAAAACAAAGTATTTTCGTTTCACAGTTTTGTAGTATCCTCTAACATGAGTATCAAATGTAAATCAAATGATCACTAGCTGATTTTTAACTTATTATTTAACTTTTAATTTATTTAATTCATTCAATGAAATCACCTATTTATCTCAATTTACATAAAATCAGTCGCTGCTTTTTTATTGAACTAAAATATATATGAACGCAATTTCCACTTTCACACATTAAAAAAGTGAATCCAGATAGCCAAAAGTCTGGCTTTAAGAGTTTGATGTTGTTTGCAAGTTATTTCAAAGTAATTAGAGTCAAACCAAGAACTGAGGAGAGCATACATTTTAGATCATGGTGATCAATGAGGCAGACAGAGTGTGATTAAAAGGGTTCAATAATGTTAGCAAATGGCCTACAGTAGGTTTAGCTTTAGTCCTTGGTCAACTCAAACAAGACAATTTCATTATGAATGCCAATATGTTATACCATAAGCAGGTTAAGAGGTTATGTCAATCCTGTATGCACAATTTGTCCACACTGATCAAAAACCTCCTTGCAGGGTGCACATTGCTAGTGCACTATTACTGTTTTGTTTTCGCAAAACAGAGAGTGCTTATGTATCGGGCCCACAGTTGTGTGTATTCAATGAATTCTGGATGGCTCCCAGAGACAATATGTTATACCTGGATTCACAGGGTCTCTCTCTCTCTCTCTCTCTCTCTCTCTCTCTCTCTCTCTCTCTCTCTCCTCATAGCTGAGAGGTGATTTCTGTTTTACTCTGTCTTGTTGGGGGGCAATGCCCCCAGATGTTTATTTTTACTCCCTGATTTTCACTGGAAAAAGGCAGACCTGTTGTTTGACCGAGCACTGCACACAAAGACCATAATCAGTTAATAGTATAATAAACGCTCTAAAGACTGGAGATGGTTGTGGATTTCAGGAAGAACGTAGCCCCACCTCTCCCCTATCACCCTGTGTGACTCCCCCGTCGACGCTGTGGAGTCCTTCCGCCTCCTGGGCTCCATCATAACCCAGGACCTTAAGTGAGAGCTGAACATCAGCTCCATCAGCAAGAAGGCTCAGCAGAGGCTGTACTTCCTGAGGCAGCTGAAGAAATTCAACCTGCCAAAGACAATGATGGTGCACTTCTACAGAGCCATCATTGAGTCCATCCTCTGCTCCTCCATCACGGTCTGGTACACTGCAGCCACTGCCAAGGACAAGGGCAGGCTGCAACGCATCATTCGCTCTGCTGAGAGGGTGATTGGCTGCAATCTGCCGTCCCTCCAGGACTTGTTCGCTTCCAGGACCCTGAAGCGAGCAAGAAAGATTGTAGCCGACCCCTCTCACCCTGGACATGAACTGTTCGAGCCCCTTCCATCTGGCAGGAGGCTGCGGTCCATCAGGACCAAGACCTCACGCCACATGAACAGTTTCTTCCCTTCTGCAGTCGGGCTCATTAACGGAGCCCGGGACCCCCACTGACTCTGTCATCCCCAGGACAATTTCCTACCGGTCACTCCCCTGCACATCCTTTCTATGTTTCTTATCTGAATACACTCGACACTTTTACATTATACTTACATCTCACTTGTTTATAGTCCTGTTATCTGTTTGTTTGTGCACTTTATTTTATATTTAACTTCATTTTATATTTTACTGTACATTTTAATATGCTTCTACTTTTTGCACTGTGTTGATTGTTGTTGATTGTTAAATGTTTTGCACCACCTGTCATGTCAAATTCCTTGTATGTTCAACATACCATGGCAATGAACGGTTCTGATTCTGAAAGTGACTGTATATATAATTTTGTACTTGTATAGTCTTCTGACCCCTCAAAGCTCTTTTACACTACATGTCATCATTCACCCATTCACACACTGATGACAGGGCTACCATGCAAGGTACCACCTGCCCATCAGGACTAACTAACATTCATACAACATTCACACACTGCAGGCATAGGAGCAATTTGGGGTTAAGTGTCTTGTCCAAGGACACGTCGACATGGACTAGTGGAGCCGGGGATCGAACCTCTGATTGAAGGACGACCCGCTCTACCACTGAACAACAGTCGATACATGTTAGTTGTACAAACAACTAATTCATGTTTTTTTATTAGTTACACAGACAAATTATTAGCTTGTGAAATATTCATCCTTTGGAGTCATAATGTTGACATGGAACCTGCAGTAGCAGTTGTTACGATTGTTAACAATTAGTCTAAGAGTTGCTATTTCTGTAAATCCACTGGATGTAGCTTTTCATGGATGTAGCTAGGAAGCTAGCTAGCTATGCAGAAGATGAAGCCCAGTCTGCAACTTTCTGACTGGTCGAATGTTTCTGCAACTGGAGCAAACAGGCACCAATGAGCACAACACCAGACCTACAGTGTATGAGTCACTGAACTAATGGTCTGTGTGTGAGACGCAGACTCTACAGAAGCCTGGTGATCAGTTCTTTGACAACATGAGCTTTCAAAGCAACATGAGGAATGACAACTTAGTGTATGACAATAAACTGCTGTCACAAGCTGAATTTAACCAAGGATGGACATCCATACATACTGCCTTCCGAGTCAAATCAAATGATCATGCAGCGTTTGTGACATGATTTAGGGCTAGGGTTGATTACATGTTTTGTTTCTCTGAAAGGCACGAACATATCAGGGATTAAAGGATGTTTTTGTCCAACATCATTGTCTTTGACTGTTCAGTACACATGTTTGTTACTCCTCTCCTGCACTTTGGTTAATACATCTTTAAGCTTTGTGAATAGCTTGTAACACAACTTGTATCTGTTTAAGCTTGGAAGCCCTGAGTCTCTATTTCTAAACATCTGTGAGACGGAGCTATATTAAAGCTTTCATCTTCTGTATCAATGTGTGCAGAGATGGTTATAGTATTCATTTTTAATTGGTATGTGGTTTTACATTTTCTTTTTTGAAGTCTTTCACTGCATCATAATTTCTCTCATTTCTCTTTTTCTTACCTGAGCCTCTCCACACACTTCATACCAACACACACACAACACACACACAAGCTGCTCTATGGATCCCCACTTCAATGGGGGGGGGGGGGGGGGGGGGGGGGGGTAGGTTGGCATGACAACAGTAACTAAGACAACTACAGTTCAAACAAACACAGATTTGGCTCCCAGAAAAAGGCAAGATCGTGCACCTAGTATCATTGCACAAACAGGAGCAGATGGCTGGATGATTTGTGCTCGTCTGTGTGAGAACGCCGTATTGAGAGCAGTTAGCCAAATCTAAGAAGTGCTGGCCGGAGCACTCATCGATCACAGCCCTCGACACCACTCCACCAGGCCAGCTGCACATCACACTGAGCAGGATTTGACCGATCTCCTGCTGATCACAGTCCAGAACGGCCTCATCAGTTAGTAAGCAGATCATTTCTTAAGGTTTCTTCTGAGATCTGGTGAAACGATGATGTGATGTCCTGCAGCGCTGAAAGTTGAAGGCAGGTCCCAGAGGTTCAGAGTGGAAGGGAGGGGGGGGGGCTACAGTATCTCATTTGAATGTGTTGTTGATTTCCCCTGAGTGCCGGGGTTAATCAATGAGTCACCTGTAAAGAACGGTGGGCCTGCTTTACAAACCAGTCTGTTTGATTCAGGACTGAAGTGGGCAGCTTTCTCCAAGCTGCTTGTTACTTAGTCGGTTGACTCGGTGTCATTAGGTGAGGAGAGTTGATGCCTCAGCAGCCTCCTTTAACTCCAAACAAATGGATTTTACCCTCACAGAAAGGATGTAGAGCTAGTTGCTAGGAAACAGCTTGGGTCCATGTTTACATCCTGTCTGCTATTGATGTTGGCAAACACTACAGCACAAAATGATGTCAAGCTGATTTGAAATGTTTATGGTTTAACTGCCATGACCCCCTGACAGAGTTGTTCCAAACATGTAGAAATCTAGTGAGCCATTAAATATAGCAGCGTCATCTTCCTATGTTTTAAAACATCAATTTGTCCCACAAAGCAAAGCTTGATTTTACACTCAAAGCAGACTGTTGAATATGAAGATATTCTATAGTCAAACTGCAAAGGCCTTATTTTAAGGGCTTCATTATTTTGAATGGAAATGTTTTTAACTTTGCAGTTACTGTAATAATATGTAATGTAATAACAGCACACACTGTGTGTGCGTACTGTTGAAAGTGGAGGGAAAACACGGTATGAACACCTATAACAAGCTCATTAAAACAAGTTGTTAAAAACAGAATTCATTATGGAATACACTGTTCTTTGTGCTTCATATAACCATATTCAACCCGAGTCCTGAGACAGCATGTCTCTGCGTAACATTTACCCACCAATCAAGCCTCATTATATTGATTGACACAACTGTGTTCCTCTCTTTCCATTTACTGCCTATAGCCAATTAAGAATCAATAAGCTATTTAACTGATAAAGATGAAGGTGTGGTGGCCATTAATCATTTCATGATCATGTTTGGAAGATTGAATGTTATGTCATCATGTCATTAACATTTGTCATTGTCACAAAGCAATGATTATGCAAATATATGTATGATCAGATGTTACATTAGAATAGGGTTGACATTCCTCAACCTCACTCACATTTTGTCACTTCATTCATGATGCAGATACATCATGCATCAAATATATGTCAAACATGGATTCAAACATAAATTTGTGAAATGACAGGCAGAGTCATCTCCAAATTAAACACTTTTTTATTACATGATACTTCATGTAGTTTTTGTGTGTAACATCGCTGCAGTGACCATATACAGTAGGTAGCAGGAACTGGGAAATATTATTTGTTTGTCCAAAGTGGGGCGGGTGAGGGCTTTGTAGCTGCCAGGAATAGTTGTGTGAACATGGTCCAGTGTATTTTTCCCTCTGATGGAGATGTGGACATATTGGTGGAATTCATGTAAAAATCAAGCTGTTTATTTCATTAAAATCACACTTTGACTTGGAGACATTGAGTTTGTAAAACAAATCCTCTTTTTCATGTAGCCTGATTCTAGACCACATGTCTGATTTGTTTGGTGATTCCAATAGCTCTCACGGCTGTTTCCCCAGTTGAAGAAACAATTGACCAATCAGAACTTTGTAGGCTGGATAAAGAATAAAGCCATCATCTTCCTATACAGCTAGTTAGCTACCTACTGTAGTTACATTAATGAACATGGCCACAAAAGAGTGTGTGGAAGGATGTACAGGTTGTTGTAAGTCCAATTGGGGAAATACGTGTTGCATATTTCCTTGATTGTCATGAAAAAGGTTCACTGCTCCGAGCACCTGTGACTCTGAGCACTTACTGGCTGAAAATGACAGAGAGTGGCAAGTCGGTCTGATTACCAGGCTTATCCAAAATAAATCAATCAAATGAATATACAAACATACATGAAACATACAGCATTGGACTTTATATCCTTATCGGATTCATTTCTTGAACAGTATATTTCTGTGTTTTTTCTTTTCATATTATAATTTTAGAACTTGCTTTAGCTACAAGTAACTGTATTTACTGTCATAAAAATGCCTTTTCATTGTGAAACCTGTGGTCATCCTGCATATTCCACATACCTGTGTTATTTATCTGATGACACTTTTGTAGGATGTTGTGCACAGTGTGTTTCGTATGCTGACTTTCCTGCTGTCTGTGTCTGTGTCTCTGTGTGTCCAAAGTGTGATCCAGGTGAGGCCACCAAGCTGCTGTATGACCTTCTGTATACGGAGCCCATTAAAATTGTGCTGATGCCAGGCTGCAGCTCTGTGTCCACCCTGGTGGCAGAAGCTTCTCGCATGTGGAACCTCATAGTGGTAAGGACTTTCACCTTTCTGTCTGTGAAACAGACTTGAACCCTGTCACTGCTTACCAAGAGGGCCAATCGCGCTACGCCAAACGCGCCGCGATTGACGTGAATTGTGGCAAAATGCCCCAAACGCGTGAGTTGAAATGTTTCAACTCCGTTGAGATGCTCCCGCTGTCATCAGTGACGTCCTGCCGTTGTTGAATCAGGAAACAAATACTGTAGCCGTCTGTGTTCACCCAGAGCTCTACGATCCCTCATATTAGTAGAGACTGGACCAAACGATGTGTATACATGTGTGTGTATAAAACATATGGTACAAACAATGAAAAAGACGCTGACGTATTTACGCCGAGATGGCGTTATTTTGAGTGTTGTTGGAGCTGCTACAATGTTAGCTTAGAGTAGCACCAATCGATCCAACCTCCAAAACATGAATTCAAACTTTTTACAAATCGGCATCAGTATGTAAGTTATTTCGGTGTACCTTTTTGTCTGTTTATCACAGCAAAATCGGTTTATTTTGTGTTCATGCAGCTGTAGTAAACCAGCCGACGTGTGGCTTGCTCGACACAGTGAATACAGCTCGATAAAATACACGGAGCTCCTCCAGACTATGTTATGAACCAAACGACAACACAAATGGTCCCCGACAAGTGAACGCGGCGCGAATGACGTGATTAAGTATGTGTATGTGTGAACGCACCTTAAGGCTAACCCTCCCGGTCATAGTTTCCTGAAGACCTGTGCTGTTGACAGGGGTGTACACAGACATTTTTAACTCCTCTCTCACACAAGAAATAGTTCCGAGGTTCTTCAAGTCCTCTTTTATAATACCGGTTCCAAAGAAACCAGACATACACACGTTGAACGACTTCAGGCCAGTGGCACTTCCCTCAGTTGCTATGACTAGAACACTTGGACATTAGCAGAACCTATGTGCACATGCTCTTTTTGGATTACAGCTCTGCCTTCAATTTAATCAGACTTGTGTTACTATGAAAACTAATCTAAAAGTTATGGGTTTGCATGTTGGTCGGTGCCAGTCACTGACCCCAGCATCACTAGTGAACACAATCATGCATTCTTAACACTCAACTTGTGTTTTTCATCAAAACAAATCTCATGTTTGACTAAAATGAAAATTTGTTGGTTTTGGCTAGACTATTTGACACAGACTAAGACTAAATAAAGAAATGCAGTTTAAGTCATCAGAAGACACTGGCTTTAATGTTTCTGTCTACCTGTGTCTCAGTTGTCGTACGGCTCCAGCTCCCCGGCTCTATCCAACCGCCAGCGTTTTCCCACCTTCTTTCGCACTCATCCGTCTGCCACACTGCACAACCCCACTCGAGTGCAGCTCTTTCAGAAGTGGAAATGGACCAAGATTGCCACCATTCAGCAAACAACAGAAGTTTTTACATCAGTGAGTTGTGTATTTATCTAAAATAGTTATGAGCACCAAAGTTATACAAGAGTTTTAAATGACAAGACACCAGTTGTTGTCATTTAAAGGTACTTTCACAAACTTTGTTTGAATTTCCAAAATGTCTTCCCAGCTTTTATATTTTATATTCATCTGTGAACTAAACCCCTTCCCTTAACAGTGATTGCCCATTCATAGCTTAGCAACAGTAACTATAGGCACAGCAGACCTGCCAAGCTTTGAACATGTTGAAGTGGTGTACATGGGGCCATGGTAAGACCACCCAAAATCACAAATTTGCCTCAGACGGCTTCATGTGTTTCAAAGTTTCAAAACATCATTGGTGTGCTTTGCTCCAGAAGTTTTCATATATTTTTCTCATTTCCTATTTCTCTCCCCTCCCTTATCTCCCTCATCACCTATAACGTCTAACCTCCCTTTATTGGTTTCTCTCTGCCTCTCTCTTGTCACCTGCTGTTTTATCTGTTGGTATCATCACCCACGCACCCGCCATCATCTTTCTAAACCACAAACTCATCTTCCTCCCCACTGCTTTTCTCATTCTTCAATTGCTGTTCTTCAAATTTCTTTTTGCAACCTACCATTCCATTATCCCTCTCACTCCTATTTTGGTTGCTGTCTCTCTCGCCCTGTCATCTTCTGCATTCTCATGATTGTGTGTGTGTGTCTCTCTGTGTTTGGCAGACTCTGGATGATCTGGAGGAGAGGGTGAAGGAGGCAGGGATTGAAATCAGCGTTCGTCAGAGCTTCCTCACCGACCCTGCTGTGGCTGTCAAAAACCTCAAGGTGCCAGATTTTCCCATACTTACATACCAGGCAGCTGAACAGCAATCAGTCAGGCCTTGTCTGGCCTGTTCACCACAGACAGCTCATTGATACATGGCAACAATGGCCCAGAAAGTACAGAAGCAGTCTTATGCCCAGAATGTAGAGTCATCTCTGTAGGTCTGGCTCAAACTGTGGTAAAAAAATTATGACAAATGCTGAAGCTAATATTGAATCGCTCAGAGATACAGCACCATTAATGATCGCTACAATAAGTCCATCTCAAAAAGATTCAGGAAGTGACAACTTCTCTGTTGAAATAGTCAGTGTTTTTTTCCATTGTGGTTGTGGCATCTTATAAGAGCCGTCCACACCAAGAGTGATAACCATAAATATATTGTTTTAAAAATCATTCGAACTCAAATGGATGGCGTAGGCTTGCCTCCTTGTGATCAATTATCAGTTAATAATCTGGCCCAATAATTAATATATTACATTGGGCAAGTGACTGGTGGCACACGCCAATTTGCCATGCTGGGAAGCCCCAACATGAAAATATGAAAAACAGATCGTTTTGTGGTCAGAATTGGCAGATACATTTATAAAGCACTTGATTTAGCTTTTTCTCATCTTATTCCTATTAATAAATATATGAAAAATAGAAATAATACAAATCTGAATACAGTTGAAAAGTAGCTGCTGCTGTGCATCTTCCAGCACCACAGAGGAGAGGAGAGAGAGATGCTGTCAATTTCAATAAGTACACTTTATTGCTGATAGAAATGTGTAAAAATATCATTTTATTAATCCATCTTCTTGTGTGGAACAAATACTACTTTGAGTACGACAGTTCATACATCGATCTATATATCCTTTTCTTACCTCTTATTCGGGTCCGGGTCTTGGGGGCAGCTGGCTTAGCGAGCTATTCCAGATGTCCTTTTCCCAAGCAACATTTTCAATCTCGTCCCGGGGTGTCCCAGGCCAGACAAGTTAAATAATCTCTCCAGCGTGCTCTTTGTCCCCCCTTGCTCTCTTACAAGTTGGACATGCCCGGGAAATCCTCTAAAGGGAGAGGCGTCCAGGAGGCATCCTGATCAGATGCCCCAACCACCTCAGATGGCCCCTTTTGATGCGAAGGCACAGCGGCTCTAGTCCGAGCTCCCGCTATACGTATATCTGAACTCAGACTCCCTAGGAGTTACTACCCAAAGCTCATGACCATAGGTGAGGATTGGAACGATAGACTGGCTCCTTGGCTCAGCTATTTCTTCACCACAACAGTACAATGCCAGCCTGTCCATCTCACGCCCCATTTTACTCTCACTGGTTAACAAGACCTGAGATACTTCAACTCCCTCGCTTGGGGCAGTGACTCACTCCCAACCCGGGGGGCAATCTACCATTGATACATTAGGTAAAGCTATTACAAGGAACTTTCATTTTTTGTTGATTTTAGACACCAAAACATCTGTCCAGATACCATTCAGTGTTATCAGATACAGTATACAACGGCCATGTGTTTTTCAGTTTATGGAATAGGAAGTGACCCCTTTACTGTCTAAACGCTTTCCCAAAAACATAATAACTGAGCAGAAATGATCAGCAGCTGTCTGAACATACAGTACTAAACATTCCCACTGACCAAAAATTGTTATTCTGTTGCTTGGATTACATGCCTACATCTAACAGTGTTTACTGCATCTATGAAGCCCAAGACCAATACAGTGTGTGGGGAGGGAGTGTGTTTTGCTGTCAGCTTAAGCTTTTTTTGGTTACATCTGCCCTCTGAAAGTGAGTGTTTCTGTTTGCTTAATAAATGTGCAAACCCAATAATGAGTATATGAACTGCTGTAGTTCACAAAAAAATAAATAAAAATCAGAACGTTTCTGATAATAAATTCTTGAACCTCTAGGTTAGCCTTGATCCCTTCCTTCCTCCTCTCCTTCCTCCACCACTGTCAGCTTGACTAGCTTCCTTCCTGGCACACATACACTTTACAATGACCTTGCGCAGCATGCCGGCCTAGTTTTGGTGAGCAAGATTAATTGGCCAGAAACCATGGTGATAGCATGGATGTAACCCAGTGGAAGGGAAGTCTACTGCTGTGTGGTGCAGGAGCTGGGAGGAGGGGGTGGCTCCTGTGTTCCCTATCCACACTGCAGGGTCTTTAATGTGTGTCCTTTTCTTTTTCAATTCCAAGCGTCAAGATGCCAGGATAATTGTTGGCCTGTTCTATGAGACGGAGGCCAGGAAAGTCTTCTGTGAGGTAATGAGTTCTCTTGTTCAAATTAATTTGTGACAGAGTTGCCTGACATGAATTTAAAGTATCAAAGACACGTAACGAAGTGCCTGAATGCAAGAGTCTTCTAAAAACAAGTTTTTATTGGGTTTTAACTCCTAAAGTTTTCTATCCCCTCACTTATTGTGAGTCCATCCAGTAAGTATGACTGCAAATAGATCCAAAAAACGAGTGCCAATGAGATCCATGCACGTGGATATAGATAAGTCGCACAGACGCACATGCATATTACTTTACCGAGCGCTTTCACATCATTGGCGGGCAGAATATCTCTACCTGCTATAGTGCTTGTCTTGTTTAATTGGTGCTGCAACTCTTAAGAGATATGAGAAGGAGATTATGTAAATTGTGGTTTGCTAGCTTAGTTAGCTGACATGCCCAGCTGATCACTGTTATGTTTACTACAGAGAGAGTAATCTCGATATGGCTAACGTTATATCAGCCAGTGAAAACCGAGTTATAAATAAGTTAGCAATAGCTATTGCTCATTTTTTAGCCAATTAGTTAATAAATAATCGTATTCTGCTTGCATGACTATTGATAGCCAGCTGCATGTTCTCATTAAAGGTAAAGATTTAGCTAAGACAGCAGGGACAGATGTACAGCTAGCTATGCTAGTTAGCTAACGATATTATGTTAGTAAAACACGATGTTCATATGAATGCACATTTAAATGAGCTATAGCTTGCTATGGTGATTACACAGCTCATGCTAATGTTTGTTTGCCAGAATGAATGTTGTTATTAGTAACTAAAAGTTCCTAGTGTAGAGATCACAGCACTGAAGCAATTAGAAATCTGAGATAAAAGCAGGTTTCCAGTTGTCTAGTTGGAAAACATTTTAATAATATGATGCTAACTCTTATCCCAAGAAATGATTTCAAATGTTGGTTTAAAGTATAAAGAATGCAAAAGCACACAAACGGTGGGAGTGAGCGAGGTTGATGGGTCCAACAAAAAGCGGTCTTTACTCCAGGAAGCCGCTGTTTGTTCCCCATGTCAAATGTTGATTTAGTTGTCACGTAGCTTCAGTAACGGCACTTCTTTAGTTATTTTAACCCAAATGACCACCACCCATTATCCTCTGTTAATAAACCTTTTCACTTTATTCAACCCTGTCCGTGTCTGCGTTTGGGTCTGCCACCACACCCCATGACAGAATGTTCTAGCCATGATGGACTCAGCAGACCACAGTTTGGTGCGCGTTGCACCACAACCTTCTGACCTGTTTCTGGGAACCCGCCTGGCCTTGGGAGGGCCTCATAGTGTCCAGAGGGTTATTGCACTGAAATGTTTACTGTTACTCGTCTCCGTAAAGCTAGGGTTCGTAATCTTCTTCAAAAACTTTTTTTGATTAATTTGTTGAAATTCTCATTACATCTAGAGAGCTATCAATAAATCAAATGCTCTGACAAAAACCAGGTATCTGCGGCTGTCGCAAGACTGTAATAAGCATGTCCAATCTTTTCATGCAACACGAATGAAATGATTGGACAAGCTACCTAACTGCGTGCACTCTGCCCTTCCACTCATTGCTGCTAGCTTGACTGCTGTGAGTACTAACAATAGCCATGTTTGTTGTTTACGTTCATAATGATCATTTGGGGGAGTGGCTTGTAGGGACGTCTGAAGGGACGGACTGTGAGTGTTGCCGACTTGAGGATTTTCTTGCTGGATTTCTGAGCTAGTGCTGCTAGTTACTTTCTTTGGAAAAGAGTTGGCAACACTGAGCTGTGTTTTCAGTTGGACATTTTTCTAAATCTAGTCTACTCTTTCTGGGGTTTTAAGTATTACCTGCCCAAGTTCTGAATGTATGGAATATGAATGTCTTTGTTTGCCCTCTCATTAGCTGTTCATGTGTCACATTGTCCCTCTACAGGTGTACAAGGAGAAGCTGTATGGGAAGAAGTATGTATGGTTCCTCATCGGCTGGTACGCAGACAACTGGTTCAAGATCAAGGACCCCTCCATTAACTGTACTATTGAGCAGATGACAGAGGCAGTGGATGGTCATGTGACCACAGAGATTGTCATGCTCAACCCAGAGACGGTGCGAGGAGCCTCCAACCTGGTAAGACGCACAATATCTCATAATGCAACAGTGGTGCTCAACATAAACAGCTGCAGACGCTGAAGGGAATTTATAATGAATGCACCAATACACTTTAAATAAAATAACTGTGTACTTCCTCAGGTTTACCTTTAGTTGAGTGTGGTTCTTCCACTGGGATAGATCATTAAATGTGTCTTTTTCTGGGATTTCTCAACCCTTTCCAGGTAGGATATTCACCAGTCCATTACAAATCTCTGTTTCAAAGATTTCCAAGACATGTTGCATTGATACGAGCGCAGCAAAAAGCTTCCATCTGTTTTGTTTTGCAATTTGCAGCTTATTTCTCTTTTACAATGACAAAAAGCATAGAAAGAGTCCTTTTAGACCAGATGACTTGTAAAGACAGACATCTTTTTAATATAAGAACCATCACCTTATATTTTATATGTTATGGTTCATATGAGCGCTCAAAGTGCTGATACTCAGCAGCAATGTTTATTGCCCATCTATTCATGCATGTACATGCTTGTGTGCGTCCTACTGATTCAAACAAAACAAGGACTAAATAAGAAACGCACTAGTGCTCAGAAACTAGCTTTGTCTTCAAGATATTTAACTGAGAGCACCATCTTTCCCTAAAATGAACTAAATGCTTTGGGTTGTCTAAATCTGCGTAGTTGCTCGAAGCAGAAAGTAGGACCTTGTTCAATATTGACCTTTCCTCTTTCAAATCTGTTAAATATAAGTCGACTTGTTGACCGTAATGTTGCGAAACCTTTTATTTTTCATTGTTATTGAAACCCTTAATTAGCAATATACAGTAAATGTGTGCTTTTAGAACAATATGCCCCATCCAGAAGATTATAAAATAATTGGAAGTGGCTGAATTGTGAGAGAATTGGTCAAAAGAGTGCTTTCATGAACAGCAGCATCTCCATCCTTTGTCTCCAATTCAATAGATCAACACGGAACTTAACTTTTGTAGGCAAACTTAATTCTATTGCTCGTAAGGAATTCTAATTAATTTGCGTGCCTTTTGTGTATGAAAGCTTTATTTGACCTGACCTGAATATAGTCATTTTAAACTGAAACATGGTGAAAAGGCTTACTGTTTGGCTGCTGGTGCTGATACTAAAACTCCATGAAACATAGAAGGTCGATTTTTATGAACGGCCGAAGCTCGGTATCTTCCAGCCCTGTTGTCTGGAAATTCTGTTTGAGTGAACAGGGGAGCACTTATGCAGGAATGGCCTCTTATTGATCAAAATGCGGTGAAGTGATACCGGCTGTGTGAGGCGAGGAAAGGCTGCCGCCTCTCCCTTTCACCTTCAGCTCTGTGTCAGAACGGAATAAAACAATAAAAGTGTGATTTTTTTTTTTTGATCACTGAGGTAAATAATGCATTGGATCTATTTTCTGTACTAACAGCATATGGAGCTCACTTGGTAGAGTGGATAGCTATTACTTGAGTTGTTGGTTCGATCCCAGAGCTCCTCCTGTCGGAGTGTCTTTTGGCAAGACACGAAACCCCATATTACTTCTAATTGGTGAATGAGAAAAAAATACAAGTGGCTTTGGACACACGTGTCTGTCATATGTAACGTAAAAGTGCATAGTGAACTTCCAGAATGTTAATGTTTGTTTAACAGATTGTGTTTTACAGTAAAACAGTAACAGAAGGTTAAAAAAACAAGAAGATCATTTTCTAGTAGGCAGTAAAACTGCCTGTGCCAAAGCACACTGTATATTATCCATCGGGCTTAATAATAATAATCCTCATCAGCTTTATCCAAAAGTTTGGCGCGCCTCTCCTCACACAGCGTTGCCAACAGTGGCGTGAAAAATACATCAAAACGTGCGGCCTGATCGGGAATAGTGTGCTTTCTATTTTTCGGAGACATTCGCCTAGCGGTTTTCCCGAAAATTCCCGAAAATCCCCAAAAACTGAGCAAAATTTCTCCATTCACTTGAATGGGGTTTCGGCGTGAAGAGAGCTAAAAAAACACTTAATTTTGGGCCCATATTGACTAGCCGTACATTAACGTAGAAACATGATTCAAAGTTTAAAACGTAGACAAAACGCTGCACTTTATTGAGCCAAAGGGACATTTTGATAGCTAGCACAGTTTTCATGAAGTCACAGATTAAGTTTCAGGAAAATTTTGGGTCTGTTTCAGATTTTATAATGGGTGTGTATTGCACGGCTCGTTAAGAGCTAGAGTGAGAGCATAACTGTCAGAGTGGAGCGGAGCAGGAAAATATTCTGTGATTTTTCCAAACAAATTGCTCCAGCTCCCACAATTTTTACTCTTTATACACCATTTTTGGCCAAAAAGCTTGGAAATGTTGTGCTGTCGCACACACAGATATCTGTGGAATCCAACGGACTTACACATTTGGCTCAAAGAGCCGCAGAGCGACATGAACTCCAACCAACTGCTCCATTAGACTCCATGTTAAATCTGACCACTCATTTCTCAAAGAAAGCAGACGGTACCAGTTTTGCATATTGCGCTGGAGCTCACATTTTTAAGACCACAAACATAAAAAACACATCTCCGCGTTTGCCAGAGTCTTATCTCTCTCACGGTATCCATATTTTATTGATTAGTCTCATGGTTTTGGTATGAAGGGCATATGTTTGACAGGTAGTTTTGTTGAAAATCACTGTTCACTCTCTCTTAATTAGCCTCCAACACACAGGTGCTCCAATCACCAACATGCACCCAAGCACACAGGTGTTTATATGAGCTCATTAGTGATGTTGATAAACACAGAGGCACTGAGACACACACGCACATACACTCCTCTCCCTCTCTCTCTCTCTGTGTGTGTCTCTCTCTCATACAGTCATTCAGGTCTTGGAGACTTTTAGAGGACTCCTGTCAGCCTGTCTCACTCACTCACTCTGTCTCTCTCTCCACTCTGTCTGTCTCTCTCTCTCTCTCTCTGTGTGTGTCTCTCTATCATACAGTCATTCAGGTCTTAGATATTTTTAGAGGACTTTTCCCCTCTCCCCCCCCCCCCCCCCCTCCCCCCATTTCAAATTAAAAGCCCCACAGAATGAATTCTAACTGGAATGCTTGTGATGAAGCCTCTCATTTTAGTGTCAAACATTATGATTCTGTCTCCTCTCCCCCTCTCTCACCCACCCAGTCCCACCCTTTCAAAATAAAAGCCCCACAAATACAAGATTCAATCCAAGAGTATTAATCTAAAATGCAGAAAAGAGAGTAGCGCTATCTCAATTGAACCTGAATGACACTACCGGTAACATTGGCATGTGTATATATTGCGATTTCTTCGGGCAGTAGAAGCCACACTGTCAAAATTTCTTTAGGAATTTTCTAGTTATGATTAAGCCCGATGGATAATATACAGTGTGCTTTGGCACAGGCAGTTTTACTGCCTTGTGCCACAAAGCCACACTGAATAATCTGATTATTAAAACAACAAACCGCTGACTGTGACTTAATTTGAAATCCATTTGTCAAAACCCTCAACTGTTAAATTCCAGACAAATTTCACTCATCTCCTTTTGCCTGTCCACCATAAAGATACACACCATCATTCACACACACACACACATATCATCACACATGTACCACGGTCCCTATGTATTCCTTATCTGACATTCACAAACAAACAAAACGTTTTTTTATTTTACTTTTTATTATTTGTATCGATTATTTTATTTGTATCGATTATTTTATTTCATTCATTTCTTAGTTTATTTTTGAACGTATCCAACAGTCTCACTGAGCTTTCTGTTGTTATTTTGTCTTGTTTTTGCTGCTTTGACTGTCAAAGGTGCTCTATAAATAAAGTTATTATTATTATTATTATTATTAAACATACAGCAAACACACAATCAGACCCACTCCCTCTAATCTATCCTTATCTCCTGTCTCTTTATTTATTCTATTTTTTAATTTTTATTATTACTGTTGTTATCATAATTATTATTTAAGCTCGTCTTCTCACTCTCCCTCCAAACTGCATATGAACCTTTTTTTTAATGATTGTTATAATTTTTCTTATTTGCATTTATATATTTTTTATTTCAATCTTTCCTTTTTTCATGGTGCTTACTTTCCTTTTTGTTACTGATCATATTATTATTACTTTTTATCGCCATTACTTGTAATTATTATTACTATTATTAACCCAGTATTATAATAAGTAATTACCATTATTGCTGTTTATTTCTGTCCATTATTATTATTATACATTTTTTGTTATATCTGTTTATTTCATTGTTCGCTTTCAATAATTACTGTTATTATGATTTCCCCATTATTATTATTGTTAGTAACAATCTATACAGGACAATTTTTTTCTCTACAGTCATTCCACAAACGCTCACATACACATTGTTGTGGTGCTGGCACTGGGCCCTGCCTTTCTGTCCCCTCTGAGCCTTTCAGGTAATAGTTACAAATAGTGTTGGATAGAAAAAAACATACTTACAGTTTTATAGTTATATTATTGGTTATTATAACTTATATTAACTTTATTTTCGTAGCTGAGCAAAGTGCTTAACAGTAAAACTGAGTAAACTTTAAAAATGCTTACATATTTATATTGCAAGTATTTCAAATATAACACTGAACAAATTATTAAAACAATGAGGAGCATAAAAAAATGAAAACATAGTAACAATTGAAGAAAAGACAAAGTTGGCTAGCCTGAGATATGCAGGAGTTCCAAAACGGAGGCAGAAAAGGCCCGGTCAGCTTGGGGAACAAGGTGAATAGTTGCAGTGAGACCCTGGATCTCAGGCTGTGGCTCATAATGGATTAATATACCAATAATTAGGGACCCGAGCATGCAAAGTCTTAAAAGTTACTCCCAAAATCTTAAAAGCATCTCTAAAACTCACAAGGAGCCAGTGAATAATAGGAGTGACAGTGATCTAGATCTAGAGTTTGTTGAAAATTTAGCGGCAGTTTTGTGATGAGCAGATTACAGCAGTCCATGGGAGAGGAAATAAAGTCATGGACTACTTTCTCAAGATCTGCAACTGTTAAGAGTAATTTCATTTTAGCTGTTGTCCACAACTAAGCATGAGAGTAGCTTAGTTCTTAGTTGTCAAATGATTGATGTTTGAGTTAAATGTAACCAACAGATCATGTGCAGACCCCTTAATATTAGATGATAAACAACCAAGTTTGGATTTTAGAGGAGCTGTCAGGGAAGACGTGTGAACTCTGTGAACTTCTTGTCCTTAGGGTGAGTGGCACTAGAGGAAAGCTCATTATGTCCTAAAAAGACAGGGTTCCTCATCTGGGGAGCATGAGTGTGCCCACTCTATTTCATAGCAATCCTTGCCCTACGTTTAGATTTTTTGTGTAAAATGTGGTTTGATGGTGATGCCAAAAGAGATGTTAGAGGGTTTAACAAATCATTAGATGTGATCCTTTGAGGACCATGACTATCCACAGCAATGGATGGGTAGATTGACCTGCTGCTGGAGAGACAAGCAGTACAACACCGTTCATTGCACTTACCATCTTGGCTCATATGTATTTTTTGAAAGTACTGGATATATTCCACAAGCTGTTAACTGCTGTTATTATAGGTATATTGTTATGTAGTCTGCACAGTGCATTCGTGCTATGACTAGTTTTTCTTTAAATGCAACTGTAAAGGGTATACTGCTGGTTGGCAGTGGGGGGTTTTCATATAGATGGTAAAAACCTGTTTCTATAGATTTTTTGTAATACATGATGACATGCAAGTTTTTAATAGCTTATCCTGATTAAAAAGGATAGGGTTTTCAAAGGCTGCACCCCATGAGACAGTCTGAAATGAAGGTGATAATTGTCTCCACATAGGTGTTAGAGGAGTTGACAGGCTGGGAAGATGGATTCACATAATGATGCATGCAATGCATTTGGTTTAATTAAACCCAGGAAGTTTAGTGAGAGCAAAAGAGTTTTTAAGTGAATAAGTCTGTAGACTAATCAAAATGCGAAGCAAAGTTTTTGTGCGGTGCAAATATATGCAAAGTCACTGCACAGACGCGAATACGCAAACTTTGCATCACACCATTTGCGCAATTTGAAGTATTTCAAATTGAGCAACAGATTGCGTGACACTGTCGCTCAAGCAAATCCGTATTGATGTTATCCTTCTGTTGTCACTGACATCCTGATGTCTTGAAGTCCTCATGTCCTGGCATTGTTGAATCCGAAATAGAGAAACAAAATATTGTTGTTTTCTCTACGAGCTCTACCTCTACGTAACAAGTAGAATTTACCTCATATTTGTACAGACGCTACAAAACTCTGGCATTTTGTTTTTTGGGCTGTCCGTCTCTCCCAGTCTGGTGGGGAACTTCTTCAAATCTGACACACCATCTGGATTCAAAGATAAACTGACTAAAATTTGGTCGTCATACTCAAGGTCGAGGTCACTGTAACTCAAGAATTCATATGTTAATTATCACAATATCACACATGTAAAATGTTGACATTTTGGACTGACAGGGATGAAAACTGCAACTGTAAACGGAGCCGTACAACTGCTAGGTGGTAATTCTTGTGTTTGTTTTGCTTATTTGATTGTTTGTTTGAAACCTCAGTGGTGTCACTGAGATGAGTGGGGAATCCAAATCCCTTATTGAATAGATAGATAGAATCTAATTAGGTTTGACAAGGTTTGTCAGACACCAAAATACTGAACAGTAGCATAAAACACTATTTTGCAATCTAACCGTCTTGCGAGCTTAACAATTGAATTACATGTTACCAAGTAATTACCAGGAACATGGCTTGCACATATTTAAATAAGCCAAGGCAGTGCCATTACATTTTTCTTTTCTTAAAAGAGATTTAAATGTAGTAATAGATTTAGCAAACCTAATCTCAGGTAAAGTCATTCCAGAGTTTTGATCTGGTCTTGGTCTATAGCCCTTAGTCACCAGTAAGTAAATGGTAAATGGGCTGTACTTGTACAGCGCTTTTCTAGTCTCCCGACCACTCAAAGCGCTTTCACTACTTGTTATCATTCACACCCATTCATACACTGATGACAGGGGCTACCAGGCTACAGGGGCTACCAGGCTACAGGGGCTACCGGGCTACCGGGCTACCCTTCAGGATCTATCTAACTTCCATACACATACACACATCGTAGCTACAGGAGCAATTTTGGGGTTAAGTTTCTTGTAAGGACACATCAACATGCGACTGGAAGCCGGGGGTCGAACCGCCGATCCACTGAGCCACAGTCTCCATGGCACTGGACAATAAATGAGGAGGCGTTTCTTTGTCACAGTCTCTTATTCAGCCGAAAACTCTAAAGACAAATTTCCCGCTGCATAATTGGTGTGCTTGTTGAGATAAAAACAGACAGGTGGCCTCTTATCGTGTAGCCACAGTTTGGGAATGACCAACCAATAAAGAGTCCATTATGTCCCAACAGCAGTAGACTGTGGCTCCCAACGAAAGAACCCTTGTGAAATTAAAATGATAAATAGATATAAAAAGTTAAGATGCAAAATAAAGGTTGTCACCCAGAAGCACACTGCACATTGAGTGTCAGTGCAGTCGGTGCTGTCTCACTCTTTTACACTCCTACCAAATACTTAACACGCTTCAGTCAATAGATTGATGAGCTTCTATTTTTATTTAGGGATGCAACGGAAAGTAAAGAAATTGTCAGTCTACAGCATCTGATGCACATTGTGCATAAATAAATCAGCCATTACGCATCATTACACAACATCACTGCAAACCCTTCCATAACGGTGTGGGAGTCAAGCCAAATGTTTAACACCTCATATATGTGGTAATTAAGGTAATTTGGTGGCACAACTTATAAACCCATAATGAAAATGTATTGCAAAGAGTACTTTGATGGGTATAATCTTATCATAACTGATGGAACTGAGGGGTCGAGCTACAAAACCTGTTATAAGATCCAGTTTTCCTTTAATTATAGAATAATTACACAGAATACAATCATATGAACTATATTTGCAGTGACAATTTGTAAGGGTTTTGTAAGGCACTGTTCAGGCCCATAGGGCCACCAGGTCAGAAATGTCTAATACGGGTCAAATTAAAATAAGCAAAAAATCTCCACTTCAGAATAGCGCTTGTTATTCATGAAGGTACTCAGTTTCCGAAAAAAAAAAAGAAGTTCACCTCAATGATATTACCATTTTAATCACTCAGAACTGCAATCAACACAATCACACCAACTGATGTTAGGATTTAATGGCCTGAACATCATCCATGTGTAACCAAGCACTATCTCTTGCCATGATCTCTCCTCTCCAGACATCTCAGGAATTTCTAGCCCAGCTAATGTCTAAACTCGGGGGTAAAAATCCAGAGGAGACAGGCGGTTTCCAGGAGGCCCCCCTGGCCTACGATGCTGTGTGGGCTCTAGCCCTGGCCCTCAACAAAACCGTGGGACCCCTAAAGGCCAAGGGTCACCGGCTAGAAGATTTCAACTACAACAACCGAGATATCACATTTGAGATCTACCGAGCCCTGAACACCAGCTCCTTCGAAGGAGTCTCAGTAAGTACAAAACCCAGAGGAGGGAGGAGTTGCAGAAAGTGAGAAAGGGTTGAGAGTGCTGGATAGTAATATGAGAGAGAGAGGGTGGGGGTAGCGGCAGCACTCTGATGGAAGGGGATGTTAAAACATTTAAATTCTGCCTTTTTCTTTCAGGGCCATGTTGTTTTTGACGCTCAAGGGTCTAGGATGGCCTGGACTCTTATTGAACAGCTACAAGGTATGACACAGCAGATGTCCCTGCTTGAAAATTGAATAATTTTTTATAATCAGCTTATTAGATACAATGTCTATTGATCTTGTGCTTTCCATCAAACTATCCATATTTAGTATATACATTAGGGGTGTAACAATACATGTATTCGTATTGAACCGTTCGGTCCGAGGCTTATGGTTCGGTACGCATTACGAACCGAACAATACGTTTGAATAATACCATTGCATTTGGAAAATGCAGAAGCTTAAATTGTGGGAAATATAATGCGCTCAACATGGCAACCCACTCGACGTAACAGACAAACTCTCCCCGCAGCGTTTAGGTAGCTGTTCCCTACCGATTCAAACCGGGTTAAAGCAATCGCCACGGCGATTGTTATATGTGTAGCCGTGGATATGAGACCCTACTCTGTAGTGGAAAAGTCCGGCTGTACTAGCATGTTTAATGCTACTGAGCCCCGTGACACCACTCATTCAGGAGTCCATTTCTCCAGACCATAATTCCCGCTTTGTTAAAGAAAACAAAAGCCCAAACAGAATCAAATGTCCGAAGCTCCCGCTGTTGCTTTCACAACAGACGGCCGGACGTCCAAGGATACACACAAAGCTAGTGTCAGGGCTGGAAAACTCAGGAGAAAGGCTAGGCTGCAGGGCTTTCGCTGCTGCTAACTTTTGTTGGGGCTTGGACTTTCTGATGAAACCGCAAGGCCACAGGACTGCGCTCTGCCTTGTTTACTTCTTACAGCGCAGGCGCTCCAAAAGAAAAAAAAAAAGCAACTGGATCCGGTTTAAAATCAAAACAATATTTAATGAACTGATCGAAGCTAATTGCAATCTGGATTACACTATCAATAGTAATGTTCTCGAGAGCAGAGACCACACACACGCATCCCATTCACAGGTCCGACCCAGGCCAGGTGCTGAAAAACGGAACGGATGTGGTCTGAAGAATACTCTCTCAAACACTGTCTCTTATTGTCCTGCAAAGGCCAGAAAGCAGCCGACATTGTCCCAAAATGTCTGAATGAATCTCCGTGTCAATCAGTGATTGGCTCCATTCGAATTCTGTTCCCGCCTTGCTTCGAACAGTATTCGATTCTGTGGCAAAACGTCTTCGGATTCCTCCTCCCTGGTCAGTTGTCCAGGCGACCCCCTTCTCCTGTTTACGGCAATCCCTTCACCTTCATGCCTGTGAAAGCCTTGCTCAAAATGATCCCTTTCTGACCCTCAAAACTATTCTTACAGTGTTCTAATACCTACAGTGACTATGCTTCTATGGTTTAATACATTCAATGAGTAAATATACTGTAACATAGAGTATCCTCTATAAGTAAGCATATAATACATTCCATAAGTAAACATATTGTGAATATTTACATATTTGGACATTTTATTATTGAGACACTTATTCACCACTAGGGCTGCTATTAATCCTACTAACAATGCATTTAATACTGAAATCCTTCACACTTTCGACAGCAAAGTCACACCAAAAATTAGCTGGTTCCGGTTTAAACTCAAAACGGTATTTAATAATTTGATCGAAGCTAAACAGTTGCAATCTGAATTACTCTATCGATAGTAATGTTCTCGAGAGCAGAGATCACATACACACACACTTCACTCAGTCCAGCCCAGGCTAGTTAACTGAAAAACGGTAGCATATAATATCGTCGAGAAGTAAGCATATTGTAAATGTCACGGGGCATGATGGAGGACTCAAACGCAGACCAGGCAGAGTAGCGTGAAGCAGGCGTTTATTAAAACACAAATACGAATAGTTACAACACAACAGGGAGTCCAAGCACAAGACAAGAGACGAGGGGGAAAATCCAGCAGGAACAAGAGAGGGCAGGCAGACGGGGAAACCGGGAACAGGACGAGCAACTCCTCCGAGGCCGAGAGTCAGAGTCCACAACCGGGTGGGTGGAGGGGGTCCGGAGGAGGGACGGCCGGACTGCCAGACTGGGGGTCCGGAGGACGGAACTCTAGAGACTGGGGTTCAGGGGGACGGAACTCTAGAGACTGGGGGTCAGGAACTCTAGAGACTGGGGATCAAGAGGGGAACTGAACTCTAGAGCAGTGATTCTTAACCATGGGGCCGCGGCCCAATCGTGGGCCACCTAGAGGGCCGCAAAAAACTTTCAGTTTTGCACCTGTGGGCCGCGAGGGCCGCGGGACCGCATAGGTTATCAATTGAAGACACCAGAGATATTACTGTTATCCATGAGATGCTCAGTTACAATATAGCTTCCTACCACCTGGTGGTGGTAATGCGTCAGTCAGTTGTTCAACAAGCTCCAATAAGCAGAAGAAGACACTCAGCTAGCCACTAGCCTGTAGCGAAAGTTATGGATAAGTTTTTAAAAAGAAAAAATGAAGACAGTGGTGCCATACCCCCCCAAAAGTCTAAATGTGTGCGCAAGTACAATCCTGACTTTCTTAAGTACGGCTTCGTGAACGGAGGCAACGAGGCAGAGCCGAGGGCTCAGTGTGTGGAATGTGGGCTAATGCTATCAAATGAAGCCTTCAAAAATAAAGCGACGAAACATCCAACGCTCGTGGGAAAGCCTGTTGGGCTCCTTGTTGTGTATGCAGGTTTACATACACATGATAAATAAATGTTTTTGTGATCATCACATTGTATCATCTCATTTATTTGACAAGGGTTTTGCCTGTTCAACTCCGCGAGGACGCCGGCGTCCTCGATCCCCTCCCGTTCCTACGGCTTCCTAAAACATGGTCCTCATCTTTGCAAAGAAATCATCGATTTTCTTTCATTTCTTATGGATTTTTCACAAAAGGAGCCCAAACACACTGTCCAAAGTCGCCATAACCGCTGCAAGTCGGATCTTGCAGCATTTTGACGGAAAAAGACATTACAGACCCAACAATGTGCTAGCGGATGTTACCATGGAGCTAGTGGCTTCAGAAAACGCTAGTAGTTTTAAAGTACAAACCTTATCTTCCTCTTCTATAAGCCGTCAACCAACGTATAACCTTTGCGTAACTGAGTTACCCGCATACTCGATCGTGCGCTCGGTCGTAGCCATTACACACAGTAAGTCCGCTACTCACACACACCACGTCTTCGACCATATATACATAATTTTTGCAATGGCTAAAAATAAAGGAAAATAATATCAAAATATAAAGGGAGAAACACCGTTAGTGTGTCAGAATATCATTTGGTTACCATGTGTCCATTTGGGTCTCCAAATATCCTTTTAGAGCTCCGCCTGGATCTCTTCATGGAAGAAACACTGTAGAATGGTCATACTTTGTCCAATCTTCTTCAAATTTGAGGCAGTTGTTCACCGATAGTGTAGTTACAGCCCTATACTGTCATTTACCTGTACAGATACAGCCACAGGCAGTTATTTATACTGAAAGATACTTTTTTATTTTATGCGGACAAAAATCTTCTCCAAAGGCCCACTGCTCTGTTTCTGTATGACCCACAGGTTTTCTGACACTTGATGCATATAGTCAGAGTGGTTCAGAAGCTACAGCCATTTTAATTTGGGTATGTCATTTTAGGCGGGTTTGCTCCAAAATAGGGGTGGAGTTGAACAGGTAACAATATAGTTGTTGAATACAAATCAAACGAAGAGTGAGATCAATTAGTTAAACTAATAGTGTTAATATTTGAATGGGCCCCGGGACACTTTGTACTTGAAAAGTTGGGCCCCGAGGTCAAAAAGGTTAAGAACCCCTGCTCCAGAGGCTGGGGATCAAGAGGGGAACAGGTCTCCAGAGGCTGGGGATCAAGAGGGGAACAGGTCTCCAGAGGCTGGGGATCAAGAGGGGAACAGGTCTCCAGAGGCTGGGGATCAGACGGGGAACAGGTCTCCAGAGGCTGGGGCTCAGGGGGATGGACTGATGACCCAGCAATCGCTGGAGAGCGGGGGATCGCTGCGACCCAGCGGATCGCTGCGACCCAGCAGGAGCGGGGAATTGCTGCGGCCCAGCGAGGATGGGAGTCTGACCCTTCCTCTGCTTCTGTCTCCTTCGAGGGTTGAGCAGGCAGTCCATCATGGCGCGGTCTGCCTTCTGGACACTCCGAGGCCCTCCAAAGGCCAGGCGGGTTCCCATAAACTGCTCGTACCACTCAGGGAGACGGCACTCCAAATCGTGGTCTGCTGAGTCCATTCTGGGCCAGGTCATTCTGTCACGGGGCATGATGGAGGACTCAAACGCAGACTAGGCAGAAGCAGCGTGAAGCAGGCATTTATTAAACACAAATACGAATAGTTACCAACACAACAGGGAATCCAAGCACAAGACAAGAGACGAGGGGGAAAATCCAGCAGGAACGAGACAGGGCAGGCAGACGTGGAAACCGGGAACAGGACGAGCAAAAACGGGCGGGTAGACATGAACACAAACAATGGCAGGGGTTTATAAAGTGGCTTGAACAGGTGAGGGGAGTTGTGCTGATGAGGAGGAGTGCTTGATTAGTGATCAGGGGCAGGTGAAGGGAGTTAGACTGGTACTGAAGGAGTGGCTGACAGGTAGAGTGAGGAGCTACAGAAAGAAATACACAGAACACACAAGGCAAAGCCTGATCGTGACAGTAAACATATAATACATTCCATAAGTAAATATATTGTGACTCTTAACATATTTTTACATTTTATTATTGTGACACTTTTATTCACCACTAGGGGTGCTATTAATCCTACCAACTAATATACCAATGCTTTTAATACTGAAATTCCTCACACTACCTGACTGGAGATGAAGAGCCATCTTCTTCAGACACGCCCCCTTGAGAGTCTCACAATGCATGAATTAGTCAAGCGGCTAGCAGACTTTAGTTAGTTAGCTACTTTTCCTTACTCATAGCTCCTCTTACTTGTTTTCAGTCACTACCGACAGAACACCACCATGGTTGAATCTCAGCATGCATGCACTTTTGATATAACTGAACATGGTTAAAAGAAGGCAGCTAATATTGGTAGCAAGAGCAAAAAGTTAGCGGATTGCTGAGTGCCATCTCTC